CGCACGCACGACTGATAAACATCTAATATCTAAACTCCATTTGAAACCCTGTTTCTGTTTGCTGGATACATTTGCCTTACAAAGAAATGTAGCCAGGTACTACATTAGACAAGGAGGAGTGGTAGCTAGCAAGAGGTATAACCAGTAATTGTTGACCTCTGGCCAACTTTTCCCAAAACTTGTAACAAAGGAATATCTGATGTAGAGGGATATCCACTTGGATGATGGGAGGGCTAAGAAACCTAAGGCTATAAGGGACGCAAGCTATGCAAGTTAACTCTTCCCTCAAAACCTGGTATTGTCAGTGACTAACGACCACGGAGAAACAGCCTCTAGGAACCACAGGATCAACAAAAATAAATAAAGTCCAGCATTCGCAGGCCCTGAAGTCCCACAGTGAGTCTCCCCAGAGACTGATCTGTAAGAGGGACGCCTCCTTTCAACCCTAGTATGAGTAAATAAATGCCGACACCGCAAAGTGCGCATCCTTAGGACACAATTCTTGATCACCCCAGAAATGCCGCTTCCAGAACCTTCTCGACAGCATTCTTGCTTTCCTTTGGAGGTTTTGACTTTAGACTAGAGAGATACATAGGCATTACTGAGCAGTCGGGTGCCAGTTGGCCTAGGTACACCAGGTGCGGCTTGGAGCCCGGGGAAGGGGGGGGGGTGACGGGTGGGTCCCTTACGTTTTCCCGCAGCTTCCGCTCCTGATCCAGCTCACGCTGCAGGCTGCCCGCACGCTCCTCCGCGGTGTCCGCCTGCTCTTGCAGGCTCCGGATCTTTCTCCGCACAGCCTCTAGCGAGCTACTACCCGCCATGGCGAGGCTGCGGCTGAGGCTGTGCTCTGACTCCGGGCTCTGTAGCTGCTGCTGCTGCTGCTGCTACTACTGCAGCTACCGAGCCCAAGACTGGTGTCCCCAGTGGCCCAGAAGCAGCCCGGAAGTCACGGCCCCGGGGCCGCACTAGAGAGCCACGGGCGGGTGCGCGAGCGCAGAGGACGGGCGCGGCTGGCAGGCGGGCGGGGCACGGCGGACCCCGGGACCTGGTAGTCGGCGGATTCACTGCGCGTGCGCGCGGGGACGACTGGCTTTAGGGCTGCTTCGCCTAGAGCGAGGCCACCGCAGGAGGGCGTTTGCTTCCACTCCGCTGCGTGGCCGCAAGTAGACGACCTGTATTCTAAAGCCTATGGCGACTCCTGCTGGCCGCTTGGAGCGCTCCGGAATCCCGATTACTCTGAAGCTTAGCTGGGATAGGAACCTGGACCCTGAACGTTCTCTAAAAGGAACTGTTCTGGTGGTAAAGTACGCCATCATTCCGAATGCTAAAGGCCATGACGACTCCTGCTGGCGGACCCTATAGTATGATAACTTAAGGGAAGTGGTTCTTGTAAAGAATTCCAGAACACAAGCTACTGACTACAAGAACCCCAACACCCGAATTAGCTCACCAAGTGTAAATTACTATGTGACAATACAGCGTGATTAGACGGTTCTAAATACAGCTTTTCTAGATTTGAATCTGGCTCTTAGGTCTCTGGTTGTGTGGCTTTGGACAAATGACTTCTCTAGGCGTCATCTCTTAAAAACGAGTATAATAGTACAGGGCTCTTCATGGGGCTGTTGTGAATTATCAGATACTATAAAACACTTAACAATGCCTTACATATAGTTAAGAACTCAAACGATATAATTAAACACAGGCACTACCTTTAAGAGTTTGCTGGGCCCAGTATCCAGTTGTGCAATCTCAGGCAAGGAAAACATCCTAACCTTCCCTGGTTTTAATTCAGATATCTGGAATCCAATGAACCCAAGCTGCAAGACTACAGAAGCCTGTGACAGAACCTCTGGTTACCAGCTGGAAAGCCACATGGTCACAAACTGTAAGAAGTCATTTCTGCCATTCCCTCTTGTGCTGTGTTTTTGAACGTCTGTCAAGCCTCTGGGCTTTATATCTTTCTACACCTTTGTCAAAGAGACCTCTTAAAGTCAGTCCTGGACTTGTTTAAATGTAAGTGTGTATGTGAACAAAGGTAGAAAAGAAAGCCCTTTCTGCCAAGGCTATCTTCCAAAACCAGAACATCTCTGGAATTCCTAGTCCCCCCTGGTCTCTGCCGCAGAAAGAAAGCCTACAAACTCCAGCTAGGGCCCTCAAGTCCTGTAGGTGGGCCTCTTGCTTGGTTTCCAAGAGGGTGTTGGTCTGCTGAGTGGTGGTAGGTACAGCTCCTCCCCAAAGCTCACAGTCTATATGCCTCCAACCTTTAGGATGCCCAGTCAGGGCATCTGCAACCCTTCAAGGGCAGCCAGGGAAAATGCTGCCCACTTGCTAGTGCAGTAAGCAGCCACACACTAGTGGTGCTTTTCAAACACTAGGAAGTCAGCTGAAGAGCTATGGTTAGTTTTAGCTACAGTATGGAATCCTTTGGTTATTTCAGAAAAGTGGCTGGGTCCCATCCCAAGAGATCCCAAGGGAAAACCTAGTTTAGATAAGCCTGATTCACTACATTAGGAAGAAGCCCTAGTTAGAGGGATAAAGCCTGCAAATATCAGCTCCATCAGTTATTGGGGGAAAGGAGCCAAGATAAGGGAGGCTTAATAGGACTCATCCTCATTTAGGTGGAAAAACCAGTAAAAATTCAAAACAAATTGCTAGAGATGCTAGCTCCTGAGTGACAGCATTTTAAACTGGGAGGAAAAAAAAAGTTTCTGGAAGACTATAGCTTGTAAAATAGGTTGGTAAATTGGGAAAATACTTTTAGTAATTATAAATGTATTTCTTGACACTACAGAGTAAAATGTCCTCCCTGCAATACTCCAGGAGGACGACTTCTCTCCCACCTCTTCCCTTAGAGACACCTGTCTTTTCCTCTTCAAGTCTTAGCTATTTCAAGTGAGTCAAGAACTCTCTAAATATAACGAGTCTTCACAAACTCCCTTCAACATTCCTAGTCTCAAAGAGCTAACAGTGTTTTACAGAGGTAGATGATCAATACGCTAGCCAAATGAAACAGAGAAGCACAAACTCACACCATATTTAGAGAGTTTTCCAGCACCATGAGAGAACCAAAACTGGCTGTAAGAACCTCCCTCTCCTCCTGGCCCCGCCCCCACAGCTGACTTTAAATAGCCTCTTTTCTAGTTCTGCCCCACCCCATTCCAGTACCCCCCCCCCATGATTTCTCATTAAAGACTTGATTATCACTCTGTAGTTACAACAATTATTATCCCCCCCCTTAAGAATTATAGCAACGTTTTTTCTCCTCCTTTCTTTCATACTGGGCTATTTGCAAATTCTCTAAATTCCTTTCCTTATAAGGAATATCTCTCCTAGAACTCTCAGCGGCTCTTTTGAAAAACCTAAATAAATGTCCTGCAGGAGGATTTGGGGGAGATGGGCATCCTTCATTTAGCACCTACAAAGCAGGCATCTGATCCACATTATACAAAACAGAGTCATGAAGGCTGTTTGTTGTTGTTCTTTTTCTAAAATCAGTAGCTCTTAGTAATGAGTTTTCGCTAAACCAGGGCTACCACAAGCTTCCTTTCCAGTAAACTTAATTGTCATTGAAAGTTCTTTTTGTCCCATCCCAGTTGTTCACTGTCTGGACCACTCATTTGCTAAGAACACTAGATAAATCTCAAGCCTTTGAGGATACAAAAGGCCTTGCAGATTTCAAAACCCTTGGGTAATCTGCATTACACATGATCCAAAAACACAAAACCAAAAAAAGTTACAAACTGTTGTCAAACTTGGGGGTTCAACTTCTGGGTGTAGCATTCTCTGCTATTCACACATTCTTGGAATTGTTATCAGCTTCCCAAGGAATTCTTTTCTAATTGGACCTCTAGGCTTAATTAGCGTCTCCAGTGGAATGTACTGGTGTGAAAAGAAAAACTGACCCTCAGCTTGACTTTCTAGACAGAAGAGGCTAGCTCTGTAGTTAAGGTTCCAAAGGGCAGTGGAGAGGGTGCTTAACAGAGCCAGAGCCTGTGTCTATCACCCCCTGGAAATATGTGGTGGTTGTCAGAGGGCTGACAGGTGGGGGTGGGGCGGGCAGGGGGCAGCCAGCTTACTAGGCCATATAAAGCACTGAGCTATATATAACTCCTTGTGCTTTCTGATCTAGTGCCTCAGACTGCATACCCAAGCAAGGATCATCTTCCCTGGGCAGGTCTTAAGGCTTGCCTAGAGAGAAAGAGAGCCTCAAAATGTCCCTGTAGTCTTCAAGCTTAGCCTTTCAAGTAAGAGTGTGTGTACTGTTTGAAGGCCAGGCGCTATGGATCCTGCAAAAACCACTGGGAGTGAGTGGCAAACAAGAAAACTTGGTATTCTGTTTTGCACAAACCTTGGCGATGACACACACTTCAGAGGTTTTATACCAGCAGGAGGCGAAGTTCACCTCGAGAAGTCCCCATTTCAGAGGCTGTGTTCTCCCAGCTCACCCACCCACCTCCAACCAAAGGGGAGGAGGTAAAGAGGAAAAAGAGAAAAAGAAATGAATGTGCGCAGCGGCAGTCAGAGGCGGCATCCAGTGCTCTGGGCCATGGCCAGGCTGTGTGCAGGTGTCTGGCACGAGGTTTACCCCCTTCCTTTGCTCTGCAGCCCCTGTGGTGACCCCCCAAAGTGGCCACGGGGACGGGAGGTGAGGGAGGCAGTGTGGGCGTGCACTTACATCTGTGGCCTTTTTCTCCGCCAGCTCCAGCTTCTCCTGGGCATCTTTGAGAGCCTCAGAGTATTTGTCGAGTTCATCTTCAGTGCCCTTGAGTTTCTTTTGCAGTGACACCAGCTCATCTTCCAGCTGGGAGTTGGCGGTGGAGTATAGGGAGGGGGAAGGGGGTGGGGTGCGGCAGGCAGCGTGATCCCGCAAGGTGCGGGGTGAGGGTGCACAGACCGTAAAGGACAGGGACAGCGGGAGAGAGAGAGGGAAAGACAGGGAGGGAGAAAGAAAGAGAAAGTTAGCCATTCGTGTGCGGTGCCACGCCGCGCGCCCGGGGTACCTTGGCGGCGGTCTCGTCGGCAGCCAGGAGGCTGTCCTCCGCCTTGTGTAGCTCCTCCAGCACCCGGTCCCGCTCGTCCTCCGACGCCCGCAGCAGCTTCTCTTTTGCTGCGATGTCCTCCTCGAGCTGGGGGAAGCGGCGAGCGGGCGCGGGCGGCCGGCACGGGCCGAGTGTGAGACACACAACAAATGGGTGCCAGGTTGGCTAGGGCCCTGGGGCTAGGGGATCGCTGCTTTTGGGCTCCAGGGACCCTAGGTAGTCTCTCCCAGAGCTGGAACCGCTCAGTGACTCATCTGGCACCCCACCCCCTCCCGGGACCACAGTTTTCTGCAGAGGGCTCAGGTCCCCGACTTGAGGGGTGGCAGAAACACGCCCCTGTTTGGCTAGGTTTCTGTGATCTGTGTCTTCTATCCTGTCCCATCTTTGTTCTTAGGAAATAATTCAGTGACCCCCATTTCCTCCAAAGTCTCCACCCCAAGTTCAAGGGCTCTTTCTCCCCAACCAGAAAGTCCAAAGAACTTCGGACACTAGGACTTGAGCCTTGTCACGCTCCCCCCGCCCTTCCCTCCAGCCACACAGGAAATTGGTATCCTTTCTCCCCGCCACTTCCAAAACTGATTCCCAGTCCCGAGAGTCAACAGCCTCTCTAGGGAGTTCCACGGACCTCGAGGACCTTAGGATCCTGAGAAGGGCCATAAGCGTCCTCGGACGAGACAGAAAAATTAGAAATCAGCCTAACTCTCGCACTTTTTTTTTTCTTTCTTTCTCTTTTCCTTTTTAAGAAGTGCGCCCCTGGACACTGGGCTTGGGATGGGTCTCGGGTGCGATCCGCCGACTCAGAGTCGGAGCGGTGAGGAGTGGGGGTAAGCGCAGACCTGCTTGCTCCGGTCTTCCGCCGCCTTCTTGTCAGCCTCCGCCTGCTCTGCTCGATCCAACGCGTTCTCTTTGTCGAGCTTCAGCATCTGCATCTTCTTCTTGATGGCGTCCATGGTGGCGGTGGTGAGGGGCCCTTAGGCAGCGGAGAGAGCGAAGACACGAGCGCGGTGGGGTGGCCGAGGCGGAGTGCGAGCGCGGAGCTGCCTGCTGCTCTCTGATATGTACTTTCCCAGGGGGGCGACCGCATTCCTCAGGACAGCCAATACTTTTTTGGAAAAGCTTGTTCCTCCTGCCCCCTTTCCCAGTCTCCTGCCTCCGCCCCGTGCCCCCTCCTCTCTCCTCCCGCGGGGACCGCACGCCCATTCGCTGCCGCCTGCCGGCCTCCCAGTTGACGGTGGATATGACTATATATGGGGACCCGAGCCTCCGAGGCGGCGGCCGGGCGAGGCCGTCCTATTTCTAAACCTGCGCGCCTGGGAAAGAGCGCCCGGACCTCGCTGGAGCAGAGCCCGGCGCTGGGAGAGAGTCTCTAGCCACCTCCCAGAGCCATCGCCTGGTGGTCAGGATCCCCAGAAGATCCCGCCCGGAACCACCCGGGGTCCTGGGAACAGGACAGGTGGCGTGTGCACACTGGTCTCACTTGGCATCCAGATTCTGAGGTGCTCAGTCTAAAGCCTGGGGGTCCACTGTTACAGCTGCTGCACCTGGTGTCTGGATCTGGGAGCTCTCAGTACTCAGCCACTCTGCCCGCCCACCAGTTGTAGACCAGGGCACTGGAAATGTCAACCAGAGCAGAGAAATGGAGCTGGAGGAAGGTGTGGGATCATTCCTGAGACCCTGTCTCTCTGCCCCTGTTGGTGGGCACAAGGACAATGAGTCTTTTCACCAAAAATGGGAGTGGATAATAAAATACTTTAGGTACTTAGGACCCTGTTGGCTAAGGTGTGTGTGTATGTATGTATGTGTTTGTGTGTTGCTTTGGAAAGGGTAGAGGGGGGGTTAATGTGTAGAGGTTTGGGGGTTTTTTCCCCCTGTGGGAGTTGGGGGGGTGTTGTCTTTAGATTCAGGCATCTTGGCGTGTGGTCTTTAGTTACCATCAGCTGTGTAGCTGTGACTAGTAACAGCCTCAATTCTGTAGCTCCTTCTACCTATTTATTTGGTTGTTTTATTATATTCATTTACTTATTTGGGGGTAGTCACAGAGGTGCACCCGTGCCATGGTGGGCTGTGGCAATCAGAGGGCAGCTTTTAGGAGTCAGTTCCCTTTCCACCCTATGGGTCTTGGTCTTCAACACTGCTGCTTTACCTGCTGAGCCTTCTTGCTGGTCCATTTCCTCACACCCAAGCTCAGAAGGCAGAGGATTCCCAAAGACCCTTCAGATCTCCCTTTTCCTCTTTCTCTTGCACTAATCCATACAGGGAGCCCATCTTTCTCTGCAAAGCAATTGGGCGTCAGGGTGCTGAAAACATGGTGCAAATCAGCCTATCCGTAGCCTGAACTCTGCAGAGGGAAAGGGTCAGCTCTGCACTGTGGGAGAGGCATGAAGGCAGGAGGATTTCCCCCTCTATTTAAATGTATCTCATTTCAGGCCCCAAGGAGGAAAAGCCTGATCTTGTCAGTTTCAATAAAGCTCCAAGAGAGGCGGCTGTCCCCAAACCTCACCCACGACCAGCTGAGACAGGGTTGTGAGAGTCTTGTGACCAGACCCTACAGAATAATTTACAGCCTGTACTACATGGATATCAAATATTCCCCAGACAGTGTCCGAGCAGATTGGGCAGGCCAAAGGACTTGTTAAGGCCTTCAGGAGAATGATCAAATCCCTCTTCAGGGTTTTATCAGGTTTCTGACTGCCTGGGAAAATATACCCTCTTGTAATGACCAGAACACCAGAGCAGGATGCACACCAGAGTGGGACGCCCAGGGACTTTGTGGCACAGAAAACTCATCAGAGAACTTGCTTGCCACATGCCAAGTGGCTCAGAGTACTGTCACATTGGGCACAGGCATTGAGCAGTATTCAGATGTGTGGGCTATAAGAAGCTGATTCTCCTGCCTGGGGTTAGAGGAGGGGAAGAATAGGGACTTGGGAGTTAGAAGTTGAGATCCAAAATGGACATGACTACTTCTTTTTAATATAGCCTTAGCCATGGTACAACATCTTCCATTCTCACTTCTATTAATGGGTACTGAAGTAGACACTGACTTTCTCATTGTGCTAGGCAGAGCTGAAAAACTTCACTAAAGCCTTTTAAAAGGAACTAGTGTTGCAGTTCATTAAACATAGCACAGCTGGATATCTGCTCCATACACAACAGGCAGTACTGGGCTCTGAACTCAAAATTGGGTGATATTCATTCATCTTTCTCATCCAGATGTTGATAACGAACAGGAGGGTAAGACCTCAGAAGGAAACATAGGAAGAACCAGGTCAGAGCAGACAGAAAAAGCCTTCTTTGGGAAGCTTTTAAAACAAGTTAGAGGAGAGTAGCACCAGGGCGTAAGAAGCCATCCACAGCAGATTAACAGGAGGTTTTCCTGGGTATTAGACTAGAAAGGCGAAGTGAGACAAGATGGCAAAGGACTTGGGATTCTAGGCTGTCCTCAAACTCCTGTCCTCTTTCCTCCACCCCCTGAGTCCTGGGGTTACATAATACATGGCTCTTGTATGGATAGAAGCTATAGAGAGATGTCTTTCTACATCTACTTAGCCCTGGCCCTCTCACCTACAGCCATATACTCAAAGGCCAATGGAGCTCAAGTGTGGAAATTGAGTTACACTGAACTAACTTGTGTGTGTGTGTGTGTGTGTGTGTGTGTGTGTGTGTGTGTGTGTGACCCTGGGTGTTGCTCCTCAGGGTGCCATCTGCTTTGGTTTTGAGACAAGGCCTCTCAATGGCCTGGAGCTTGCCATGTAGACTAGGCTTGCTGGATGGAGATCTGCAGGGATCCTCTGCTCTAACACTGGGATAGCAGGTGTGCATCTACCTACCTGGATTTTCAGTGTATATTCTGGGGAGTGAACTCAAGTGCTCCCTAGCTCTAGAGCTACCATGTTATTGCCACTGGTGGGTTGACATGGTGGGTTCCTGAGTTCAATCATTACCATTTCACCCCTGTTGACTTCTGTTCTCTGAGTGGCCTGACAGCTGGCCAGGTCCCACCCAGCTTCATGAATTGTTCTACCAACAACCTTCCTTCCATTAAGGGATATGACAAGCCAAATACCATGATTGCAACAACAATTTCTGTACTGGGCAGGTGTTCTGATCCTGGAAATGGACTGTGAAGAGAGGGCTGGCTATCCACTTGCTATGAGGTATATTCCCCAGCAATTGGCCATGGATAAGGACAGGTATAAAGATGAACCATTGAGGCAAAGGTGAACTAGGGGAATCAGCTTCTCTCCCGCTGTAGCTCACACTAAGGAACACAGAAAATATAAAATATTAAGTGCTGAAATGAAAAGGATTTGGAGTTTGAACTGAAGAGGCCATGTGCAAAAGTGATTATAGTTATTTATGAGTGCTTAGGCTCTCTCTCCAGCCAGTGCCTTGGCAGGATTGTATATTCTCACCAAAGTATGTTAGGTGCTTGCTTTGGTCAAGGAAATGTGAGCATTTAAGTGACCTGTGATGGATACTTTAAGAGCTAGCCTATGACTCACAGTGTTTATTTTTTTAAAATTGTCATTTCTCTGCATTCTGGGTTCCCACATGACTCCCCCCTCCTGCCCACTGTGAGTAACTCTTGGCCGACATGTAATAAGACCAAGATATAAACCGTTGTGTTTAGATTTTTGTGATTTTTTTTAGGTCACTGAAATCTGGGACTTGTTTGTTACTGAAGCAGAGCTAGTTTTACCTGACTAATACACCTCTATAGGGCATTTCAGACAGGAGGAAGCAGAGAACTCTGATCATAGAGGTAGGAGAGGAGATGAACATAGATACAACTCAGAGAGAGATTAAAGCCTTATATTTCCCATTTCTCAAGGGCATATGAGAAAGTCTGTGTTTCTTGACAGTAAACAAACAAACAAACAAACAAAACTGACCATTTTTAAATTAAAAAAAAAAAAAAAGAAAAGAAAGGAAAGAAAAAGTCACCAAGTTATGGTGGTATGGGGACAGAAACAATATCCTTGGCTCAGAGGTTCCATGTGAATGCTGAATGTTCCCACTTCATCAGGACCTGGTATTCAGTCATTTCTCCACAAGTATTTGTGGATGGCTTTTTAAATAGAAGTACTGGAGAAGTAGTGTCTGGGGAGACATATTAGTGACCTTTTACATTGCTGTGATCGAACACCTGACAAACACCTTCTTCCTTGAAGAAGGAAGCTTTATTTTGGCTTACAGTGTGAGGGGATCCAGTTCATGGTGGAGGGCAAGGCATAGATAGCAGTAGGAATTTGAGGCATCTGGTCACATTGTATCCACCACAAGAAGGCAAAGAAGGAGGAACTCTGTTCAGCTTGCCTTCTTCTGTTCATTCCGTCTAGGGCCCCAGTTCATGGAGTGGTATCCCTACACTCACAATGAGTCTTCCCACCTCAACTGACATTATCTATATAATGCCTCATTTGCAGAGCCAGAGATTGTTTTTCCGCAGTGATTCTAAACCCCAGCAAGTAGGCAACCGCCATTAACCACTGGAGAATGTAAGGCATCAAAACAGCCTTCAAAAAGTCTCATTTCCATCCAAGATACAGACTTCTATTTTTTTAACTTTCTTTTTATTTATTCTTTGTGTGATCCCAACCATCTTCTGCCTCCCAATAAAACAAACCAGAACTTAAGAGGAAAGAAGGAAAAAAAAAAAGGGAGGAGGGAGAGGGATAATCTTGCCCTGGAAGCTGCAGTGTGATACAGTGACAGTACACCCTTTTATTCATACATTTTTACATTTTTACATGCAGGCGTTCATGGCAAAGAGTCTCCTGTCTGGTTCAAAGCTCCTGGTCTCTGCTATACCATGGATTCTGGGGCCTTGCTGGGACTCTTCCTGTACATCCTGTCCCTGCCCTGTGTCATGGGATTTCTGTTTTCAGAAGGAATACAAGAGATCTAGTGAGGTCTGACACATGTCTCATGAACTCTGGGCACCTTGACAAAATCAGTAGTGAGAATCAAACTTAGGACCTGTACATGCCAGATGAGTGCACTACCATTGGGCTATGCCCCCACTCCCTTTATTTTTGAGATAAAGTCTCATCCTGTAGTCCACACTGGGCTCAAACTCACAGC